TCTCCACATCCTTGCCAACCCTTGTTATTTTTTCTTTTTTTTTTCTTTGTAACGGAGATCCTAGAGGGTGTAAAGTGATATCTCATTGTGGTTTTGCTTTTCATTACCCCAGTGACTGATGATGTTGAGAATTTTATCATGTATTTATTGGCTATTTGTAAATCTCCTTTGGAAAAATGTGCAGTCAAATCCTTTGGCGATTTTTAAATTGGGTTGTTTATCTTCTTGTTGTTGAGTTTTAGGAGTTCTTTGACAATTCTGGATATTAAACTTCATTAGATAAATGATTTTCAAACATTTTATCCCATTCGGTAGGTTGTTTCTTCACTTTCTTGATAATATCCTTTGATGAACAAAGCAAAGTTATTTTAAAATCTGCGTGACAATCTGAATATATATAGATCCTGTGAGTTTGTTCCTATTATCTCTTATTTTTGCTGGGTTTCATTCACACAGTGTTTTTCTCCTTGTGTGCTTGACTATTTTTGATTGTGTATTCATCATTGTATTTGAGAAGTTGCTTGTTGAAATAATTTGAGTCTTAGAATGATGTTATATTCCTCCAGATAGGATTTATACTTGCTTTTAACAGGGGCCCTAGGGCACTCGAAATCCAGGATCTCCTCAGTACATTTTCGTGGACTGAGAAGATTTAAAGTTAAGCTGCAGCTCCACAAGGAACTGTCTGTTTCCAGTTTATCTTTACTCTTAAGGCGTTGCCCTTTAGGGTTTCAGCCTGAAAGGAGCAGAATTTCATCGAGGCCTGTCCCTCTGGGTGAGCATAGGATTTTAATGCCTATCCATTAGTACTGTGAAGCTGTCAGTACCAAGCCTCTCATCAGCCAACTACAAGCTGGGCAATTAGCCCTCAGTGGCTTTACCAAAGAAGATATACAAGTGGACAGTAAGCAGTGAGCCTTAGATGCCAAACTCACCTCACTTATCTCAATTCTCCCCCATATCCTTTCTTGATAATTCTTCACTGTTTGTAGCTCTCCAGTATTTTCTATCATATTTTTTATATTTTGTGAATCTTTATAGTTGTAAACAGCAGGAAAGTTGGTTTGAATTGTCTGGTCTTCCATTCCTGGAATCAGAAGTCTTCATTTATTATATTTTCTATTGCTTTAATGATAAAATAAATTATTACCATTCAGACTTGGAATAATAGTGATTCAGTTTCTTTTTCTCTTTCCATTTAGCTTTTTTAAAACAAGAAGTTAGTTCTTTATTATATAAACAATACAGTTCCATGAGTAATGTGTGAAAAATATATGAAAGTATAAAGAAGAAGTCAACAGTTTATAATTTTTCTCTTAATATTTGTTGTTGTTAGATGGTATTGAGTCAGTTCCAACTCATAGAGACCCTATGTATAACAGAATGAACCACTGCCTAGTCCTGCTGCATCCTCACAATCTTTGTTATGTTTGAGCCCATTGTTGTAGCTGCTGTGTCAATCCATTTCATTTAGGGTCTTTCTCTTTTTCACTGACCCTCTACTTTACCAAGCATGATGTCCTTCTCCAGGGACTGGTCCCTTCTGATAACATGTCCAAAGTAAGTGAGATGAAGTCTTGACATCCTCACTTCTAAGGAACGTTCTGGCTGTACTTCTTCCAAGACAGACTTGTTCTTTCTTCAGGTAGTCCATGGTATATTCAGTAGTCTTTACCAACACTGTAATTCAAATGCATCAGTTCTTCTTTGGTCTTCCTTTTTCATTGTCTAGCTTTTGCATATATATTAAGTGATTGAAAATACCATGGCTTAGGCAGGCACACCTTAGTCCTCAAAGTGACATCTTGGCTTTTTAACACTTTAATGAGGTCTTTTGTAGCAGATTTGCCGAATGCAATACATTGTTTGATTTCTTGATTGCTGCTTCCCTGGGTGTTGAGTGTGTATCCAACTAAAATGAAATCTTTGACAATTTCAATATTTTCTATGTTTATTATGATGTTGCTTATTGGTCCAGTTGTGAGGATTTTTGTTTTCTTTATGTTGAGGTGTAACCCATACTGAAGGCTGTATGTAGTCTTTGATCTTCATCAGTAAGTGCTCTAAGTCCTCTTCACTTTCAGCAAGCAAGGTTGTATCATCTGCATAATGCAGATTATCAATGAGTCTTCCTCCAATCCTGATGGTGGTTCTTCTTCCTATAGTACAGTTTCTCGGATTATTTGTTCAGCATACAGATTGAATAAGTATGGTGAAAGGATACAACCCTGACGCACACCTTTCCTGATTTTAAACCATGCTGCAGTATTATCCTCTTGTGTTCAAACAACTGCCTCTTGGTATATGTACAGGTTCCTCATGAGCACAATTAAGTGTTCCCATTCTTCACAATTTTATCCATAATTTATTATGATCCACACAGTCGAGTGCCTTTGCATAGCCAATAAAACAGGTAAACATCTTTCTGGTGTTCTCTGCTTTAACCAAGATCCATCTGACACATCAGCAGTGATATCCCTCATTCCACGTCCTCTTCTGAAGTTGACCTGAATTTCTGGCAGTGTGCTGTGGATGTACTTCTGCAACCGTTTTTTAATTATCTTCAGCAAAATTTTGTGTGTGTGTGATATTAATGATATTGTTCAATAATTTCTGTTTTCTATTGGACCACCTTTCTTTGGAATGGGCATATATATGGAGCTCTTCCAGCTGGTTGACCAGGTAGCTGTCTTCCAAATTTCCTGGCATAGATGGGTGAGTGCTTCCTGGGTTGTAGACAGGTGAGTGCTTTCAGCATTGTGTCTGTTTATTGAAACATCTCAATTGATATTCTCTCAATTCCTGGAGCCTTGTTTTTCGCCAGTGCCTTCAGTGCAGCTTGGTCTTCTTCTTTTAATACCATTGGTCCTTAATCATATGCTACCTCCTGAATTAGTTGAATGTTGACCAATTCTTTTTGGTACAGTGACTCTGTGTATTCCTTCCATCTTCTTTTGATGCTTCCTCTGTCATTCGAGCCTTCAATTTTTTCTTCTGTTCTTTCAGCTTGTTCTTTCCTTTTGGTTTCTGCACATTTCATTATAATTCTTCACTTTGTCTTTTCAAGCCACCCTTTGAAACCTACTGTTTAGTTCTTTTACTTCATCATTTCTGTCTTTTGCTTTAGCTAGCTACTGTACATTCAAGAGCAAGTTTCAGAGTCTCTTCTGACATTCATTTTGGACTTTTCTTTCTTTCCTGACTTTTTAACAACATTTTGCTTTCTTCATGTATAATGTCCTGATGTCATCCCACAGCTTGCCTGGTCTTCAGTCATTAGTGTTCAGTGAGTCAAATCTGTTCTTGAGAAGGTCTCTAAATTCAGGTGAGATAAACTCAAGGTTGCACCTTGGCTCTCGTGTATTTTGTTCTAATTTTCTTCAGCTTCAACTTGAACTTGCATATGAGCAATTCATGATCAGTTTTGTGGTCCGCCCCTTGCTTTGTTCTGACTGATGATATTGAGCTTACTCATTGTCTCTTTCCACAGATGTAGTATATTTGATTCCTATGTATTCCATCTGGCAAGGTCCACATGCGTACTTGTCATTTATGTTTTTGGAAAAAGGTATTTGCAATGAATAGGTGGTTAGTCTTGCAAAATTCTGTCAGATGATCTCCAGCATTGTTTCTGTCACCAAGGCCATATTTTTCAACTATTTACCCTTCTTCGTTTCTAACTTTTCCCATTCCAATTAACAGTAATTATCGGTGCATCTTGATTGCATATTTGATCAATTTCAGACTGCAGAAGTTGGCAAAAATCTTCAATTTCTTCATCTTTGTCATTAGATGTTGGTGCATAAATTTGAATAATAGTCATATTAACTGGTCTTCCTTGTAGACGTCTGGATATTATCCTATCACTGACAGCATTGTGCTTCAGGATAGATCTTGAAATGTTCTGTTGATGATGAATGTGATGCCATTCCTCTTCAACTTGTCATTCCGGCGTTTTAAAACACATGACTGTCCAATTGAGAATGGCCAATACCAGTCCATTTCGTCTCACTAAGCCTAGGATATCAGTCTTCAAGCATTCCATTTCATTTTTGACAACTTTCAATTTTCCTTGATTCATACTTCGCACTTTCCACATTCCAGTTACTAATGGATGTCTGCAGCTGTTTCTTCTCATTTTGAGTCATGCCACACCAGCAAATGAAGATCCCAAAAGATATACTCCATCCATATCATTAAGGTCGACTCTACTTTGAGGAGGCAGCTCTTCCTCAGTCGTATTTTGAGTGCCTTCTAACCTGAGGGGCTCATCTTCCGGCACTATATCAGACAATGTTCCACTGCTATCCATAAAGTTTTCACTGGCTGATTGTTTTTGGAAGTAGATCACCAGATCCTTCTTTTTAGTCTGTCTTAGTCTGGAAGCCCTGTTGAAACCTGTTCACCAAGGGTGACCCTGAAGATACTTGAAATAATGGTTGCATAGCTTCTAGCATCACAATAACATGCAAGCCACCACAGTATGACAAATTGACAGACAAGTTGTGGTCTTAATACATAGGTGATTACATATATATGCACACAAAACATACTTACTTTTTTAAAAATTGAAGTCACATCACATATTTTTATATAGCTTTTCCACTTATCATAATATTGTGAGGACTTTTTCAAGTCATTAAATATCCCTCAAGACTCTGACTTTAATGGATGTCTGATGTTTTATCTTGTGGGTACATCATAATTTATTTTGGCACTGCTAGATATTTATTCCCAGAAGAAATAACGTATTGATGATTATCTAGTTTTGTAAATTTTTGCTTATATCAATAAATAAAAAGTAAAATGTAACAACTTACTTAAAAAAAAAGATCATGCCTTTTTTGCTATTAATATCATATCTAAACTCTCCTGAGAAGCAAGGAGAAATAATCAGAAATTGTTTTTCAGAAATAAAATCAGCTGTGTAGGTTTACCAAAAAAGAGAAAATACATGTTTCTAAATACACATCAAAATAAATTTTTTTTCTTTTCTCTAGGACATACCGAGGTAGAGCATATTTTAAACGGCACTTTTATAAACAAGCAACTCAGGACCTTTCGGCTGCAATTCACTTAAATCCTAATAACTGGTTAGCACTGTATTATCGAGGCTGCATATTTAGAAAGAGTAACCCTTTGAGAGCGCTACAGGATTATAGCATTTCAGGTACTTTATCTTCAATTGCACTTAAATAGGAATCTGAATTTCAATAACTCATTTTCATGGAGTAGAATACTAATGTGATATGTATATTATATAGTAATTATATATATATATATTCTTCTGTATACTAATGTAAGATACCATGGGTTTAGCTAGTAGTGTTTCTAATATGCACTGTTTAGTGTGTGTGAGTTTAGTGTGCACTCTTTAGTATGTGTATGTGTGTGTGGTTATGTGTGTAACTATAGCAAGGGGAGAACATCATATCAAGGAAATCTCTATATATTGAGTTCTGAGGATTTTTCTGGAAAGCCAGGTCTACTTACTGGTCAGCTTGATAAAATGGAAGTGAATGGCTCTGGTGGACTCTGTCCTATTCCATAGGCCCAGCTCAAGGTTTAGTCAAATGCATGGCTTTTAACACTTAAATTAAAAACAGACTTTGAGAATCCTCAGTATATAGAGCACATCCATGGCTAAAAGTGGCCAGTTCCACCTTACTCTCTGTCAAGTCCTGGTATAAGTATGTGTCCAGCCTAATGCTGAGCATAGAGTGAGTGTTCAGTAATCAGTCACCAGTGAGTGAATGAACCCATTCTGACTGAAAAATTTCAGCCAGAGCTCAGCACTTCAATCATGGCTATGTTCAACTGGGTGCAAAGTGCTAGAATCCCATCATCCTGGATGAGGCAATATCTAGAGATCATGAGATAACTAGACTGCCACAGAGAGAATAATAAATAGGTCCAGAGGGGGAGGAAATCTCAGATAATCACTACTTGAATATCTCTAAGTCCAATTGCCTTCTGAGGTCACCTTTCCCTTTCATATTCAAATAAAATATTTAAAATCCCATCCTATCTGCTTCAAAGAGTCTAGTGCCCTCCCCTCTATTTCCAGGGATTACTGTTAAATTCTCTTGTGATCCTTGTGTCTAATTTCTGGTCTCTGGTTGATTCTCCATCTTTGCTCACCCTCTCACTTCTTGTAGTTACTGTTCTCTATGCTTTGCTCTTTCGCAGGTCTTCCCTACATTCCCCAATGTAACAACACAAGTGTATAGTACGTAATAGTCTGTTCCCAAATGTTTTAGAGTTTTGAGGGTAAAGTTAGCACAGAGAACACACAACTTAAAATTGAAGATCAAACACATGTAAGTTTATCCAACTCTGTCAGCCCTGTCTGTCTGCTGTCAAGTTGGCCCTTTTCTCCCTGGCTTTCTCTAATGACCTCCTTCCCATGTTTCCCTCTTACCCAAGTTTTAGGCTCCACATCCCTCTCTTCACAATAATTCTAAGTCCTGTTATTTAATTTTCAAAGAAAACCAGCTTGATTTTGGCCTCAATCTGTTCGTATAAGTTTACCAAGGGAGTTTTATCTTCCACAAACAAAAAGGACCCCCAAGATATTTTTCTAAGCTAATAGCAATAATATCTAATATTTAGTGGGCCTTTTACTACTTGCCAGGCACTGTTCTAAGTGTTATGTATGGAGTGTCTCAACTGATATTCAGAATAATGCTATGTGTTAGGTATTATTATTATCCCCATTTTACTGATGAGAAAACTGAAACACAGAATGCTTAAATAATTTTCTTTTCTTTAAGGAGAATTTTCCCATTTTTCTAGAGCTGCTCACCAAAATTATAGTCAGCTTTTTACTTGCTAGCCAGTCACACAGTGGCTGCAACGATGAGCTCAAACATAGCAATGATTGTGAGGATGACACAGGACTGGGCAGTGTTTCCTTGTGTTGTACATAGGGTCACTGTGAGTCAGAACTGACTCAGCGGCACCTAACAGCAACAATCACCCTGCAAACTCAGTCGTCAGATTGCTTTCAAGTTGATTATTTACTTAATTGGTATGATCATTGCTTATTCCAGAGTTCAGCACTGTGGTTATTTGTGTCCCAGACTGTGACCGTTATGCACATTTTTGGCAAAACTTTCCCACCTTAGCCAAAATAGGCTTGCGAAGCTTAGAAGACATGGGTCAAATCTTGTAGTTTCTAACATGCTAGCATGTTTTGGAATGTGGTGGTTAATCATTAAGTGAGGAAGCATGAGACTGGTTATGGATGAGAGCCACTCACGTGGAGTACTGGGAGGAGGTTCTTTTTGTCCCTTGCTTTTGTTATTTGGGACTTGATAATCAAGTTGCCTGTCTCAACTCTGAGTTCTGCTTGCCTTGGTTGAGCGTCTTCGCAGCTGCCCCTCCTGGCTTATGTGTGTCCGCTGTTGACCTCTTCTGTCTTTCCTGGTCTGGACTTGTATCAGAGCCTGTTCCTTGGCCAGTAACAATGTCTTCCTGAGAATAAAGGCCATCCAAGGCAATGGTGACCTTCTGACTGCAATCCACTGAAGTGCATCTGGAGAGTTAGATTATAGGTTTATCTTTGCCGTTAACTTTCATCATGACCATAAACAATGTACCTAGCTTCTTTGCACCTCAATCTGCTTATCTTTAAAATGGACTGTAGCAGATTACCATTAAGATTTCTTCTAGCTCTAATGAAATTGTGAACCATAATAGCCACGTTGTGACTTAAGCAAATACATTTTTATGTACAACACTACTTTTCACTCAGCAAATAAGTCATTGTAGATGTGTTTTATTTAGCATAAGGTTAAAAATAAGAATAAGCACTAGGAAGGCTATATAGACTGAAATATAATTCTGATATGGTTGTTCAGAGCCTGAGTAAGATACGTACTTCTGTTTTTAAGCTCTCATAAACGATGGGTATGAGAATCTAAGTTCTTTTCTACATCGGGGCATACTCTATGCAGATCAAAGACAGTGGTTGCTGGCAATTTGTGACTTTGAAACTGTTATTTCTCTAGAAAGGTACGTTTTCTTTTTTATAGTTAAAAAAAATCACTTTTGTATAAAATTAAGAAAAAACCTGAAATGAAAGAAAAGCTTTTTTCCCCGTTTTTGTCACCATTGAGAACCTTGTAGAAAATGAGACTATTATAAAGTTATCCTGGAATTAGAAAACTACTTTTAAAATAACACTGCTTCTAAACTAAAACCTCTTTTCAAAATCTGTTTGCCTCAAATGCTTCTGCAAGTTTTAGAGGTTAGATGGGCCTGAGAAGAGTTAGATAAATCCATGGATAATAAAACAACAAAGTATTAAAAGGTGCTTGGAGATGCCCAGGGTAAAGTTTTTTTTAATTTAACTTCAGGCAAAAGTATCATCAAACAGTGACAAAACATTCTGCTTGATATATCATTGCCCTGCACAACATATAATAAGTGGGAGGAACCTTTTCTTTAGAACATCTGACTTCAAGAAAAAAAAGCATAAGGAAAAAAGCCAGTACTATTCAGAACATAGGTTCAGGAAAAAACACATGCTGAAAGTCACACACACACTACTGTAGTCCAAAGCCAGGCTATAAAACACAGAATTTAATTAAATGATTTCTTTCAAATGAAGCATTCATTAATATGAAAGGTGTTAGAAAGTGGAATAAATCATGGAATAAACCAATACTATGCCAACAAGAAAACTGTTTACTGATTTTATTTAAGGTAAATTTTGAACTTGACTCCTGAAAGTCATGGAGCATGGCTTCATAATAACCACAATGGTTTTCTTTCAGACATTTTCAAGCCAGGAAGGGAAAGGAAAGAATTTCAGTTGCAAAGAGTCAGAATGTAGACCACAGTACTTTGATTTTTATAGGCAAAGGGTCAGGGCTTCTATGAAGTTGGACTATAGGATGTGTAGTTCCAGCATTTTAAAATGGAGGCATTGAACAAGGTAATTTCTAAGTTTGTTTGTATACTGAAAATTGTTTGATTCAAGAGAAAAACAGTGTCTATTTAATACAGAAAAGCAGCTGAGTGGAGAGGACTTTTAACTTCGAGCCACCGAGCCCTAGTATAATATTGTTTCTCGCTGTTACTCGTGGAGAATGTAGCCCAAGGCAAAAATATTTGAGATGAGGAAAACTAACCTTGTAATTCAAAATAACTCATGATTAAGTCAAAGAAGAGTAAAGTATTGCTAACAGACAAGGAGACTTTAGGAATTCTGTTCTTAGCACATATTCTACAAATGTTAATTCCCTATCATTAAGGGCATTTATACAAAGCCAACAGCCAACCTCATCCTAAATGGAGAGACTTTGAAAGCATTCCCCTTGAGAATGGGAACCAGACAAGGATGCCCTCCATCACCACTCTTATTCAACATTGTGCTGGAGGTCCTAGCCAGAGCAATTAGGCTAGAAAAAGAAATAAAGGGCATCCAAATTGGGAGGGAAGAAGTCAAAGTATCTCTATTTGCAGATGATATGATCTTATACACAGAAAACCCCAAAGAATCCACAAGAAAACTACTGGAA